GAAGATATGTTGTTCTCAACATCAGGGACCAGCAGCAGATCCCAGAGCTGTTGGATGCTGTGGAAAAGATGAGAGCCTACAAGGATAAACCACACTGTTATACAACAGGGATCTTTGCACATGACAAGATGGATAAAATCCTCCAACAACAGAAACACATCACCACATTGCAAGCTGAGCTGAATGAACTGAAGACAAAGAGCACAGTCACTTGTAAGTAATTTAAACACATCCCATCTCAACATTACAATCTTACAACAAACAGCAATCTTGTGCCTTTTGGAGGGGGTGCTAATTAGGGATGCACTGATCCGACTTTTTCAGTTCCGATGCTGATGCCTTATGTAGCGGTCGATACCCGATACCGATCCGATATTGTTGATTTAAGAAGCTACAAACCTTAACAAGACGAACACACTAAAGGCATCGGGTGTGACTCCACCTTTCTTTCCTGAGACAAAATATAACAAGATTAAACAACTTAATGCAGCAAACCATTTATTTGTTACAAAAGTAAACAATTGTGCAAAAGCAGCAATAACTTATGCATCAGCATTTAGATTCAGGTAAATACAATCTTCTTAGAAAGAAATACAAATGTTGCAGCTGAAACTGAATTGGGCAAACATAGAAACAGTAATCATACACACAGTAACCAAATATTAAAACAAATAGTAGTACACTAGAAAGGCAGAGAAGGAGAGGAAATCTTCCTTCCTGTGTGTGCCAGTTGGTTTAGTGATTTATTTTCTGAGGTTTATCTATTAAAGATAGATTCTGTTTGATTTTTGCAGTTTGATTTTTTCTATAAAAAGAGAATATAACAGTTATAACAAAATAGGACGAGTTGCATCAGACGATGGTGTTATTTCTTTTCTCTTACATCCTTTCCTACATTCTGAGCTAAAAACTCATCTATCCCACTGTCCATCTTTGTGTTTCTTCTTTAAGCCAGCACAGGGCAGCACAGTCCTCTGATGTGCAGCTCCTCTTCTTTTGATTCAGTCTGCAGTCTATTGCACTGCCAGAGGGGGGTTTACACATGAACACAAGACATTGCAAACTCCCGTCGAGCTAGCTGGCGTGCTAAGGGTGAAATACCTCCATATAGCAGACCCGTTTGTTCGCTCATTGTTGCTTGTGTTTGCCACTCTCTAATCAACTCTTGCGGCATGCGGCCAATATCGGTTCTAGCCTAAATGGGGCCCTGGGCGACACCCCACTAAAAAAAATTAGGTAACAACTAAGAAGGTTTTATTATTTGGCCTGTGAACTGAGAACCACAAGCAACATTTCCCCAACCATTATATTAGGGGGGCGCCCCACCCCCCCAACGGCACAGCCCACCCCTTTTGAAGGTCAAGTTAATTTTATTTAATTTTATTTTCTATATAACACCAGATCACAACAGAAGTCATTTTAGGTTACGTTTCCTATAGAACAGGTCTATACCTTGTCCTTTTATTAAACAAACTAAACAGCCTTATGTTATTTAACTTATTTACACCACACAATGTCATCTGTCTCTACATGGTCGCCCTTTACAAATCTCCTCTGCTCTCTGTATCTCGCACGGCAGTTCCACCCCAATGCGCACACACACACACACACACACACACACACATACACACACAGACACGTGCGCACACTTACCGATGAGCACACTAGAGCGCGGCTCGGGACGCATTTTCCTGACAGAACCCAACTCGACTCCGACATAGTTTGTTACCTGACATAGTTATTATGGACAGTGTGTAACATGCTGCTCGCACAGCAGCGCAGCACTGGACCCACTCGGCCCTTATCAGGATCCGCTACTACATGCATGCACACACAACTCTCACGGCATGTGGCACACAACACAACTCTCACGGCATGCGGCACACAACTCTCACGGCATGCAGCACACAACTCTCGCGGCATGCGGCACACAACACAACTCTCGCAGCATGCGGCACACAACTCTCGCAGCATGCGGCACACAACTCTCATGGCATGCGGCACACAACACAACTCTCGCGGCATGCAGCACAAAACTCTCGCAGCATGCGGCACACAACTCTCATGGCATGCAGCACACAACTCTCGCGGCATATGTCACACAACTCTCACAGCATATGGCACACAACTCTTGCAGCATGCAGCAAAAAACTCTTGCGGCATGCGGCACACAACTCTCATGGCATGCGGCACACAACTCTCGCAGCATGCGGCACACAACTCTCATGGCATGCGGCACACAACTCTCGTGGCATGCAGCACACAACTCTCGCGGCATATGTCACACAACTCTCGCGGCATATGGCACACAACTCTCGCAGTATGCGGCACAAAACTCTCGCGGCATGCGGCACACAACTCTCACAGCATATGGCACACAACTCTTGCAGCATGCGGCACAAAACTCTTGCGGCATGCGGCACACAACTCTCACGGCATGCGGCACACAACTCTCACGGCATGCGGCACACAACTCTCAGGGCATGCGGCACAAAACTCTCATGGCATGCAGCACACAACTCTCGCGGCATGCGGCACACAACTCTCGCGGCATGCAGCACAAAACTCTCGCGGCATGCAGCACACAACTCTTACCATGAATAGATATCTGTTTCTGGCTGGCAGTGATCAGCAACAGCTAATGTAGCTAGCACGCTAGTGCTAGTGAGCCTTTATTTTCCCAGGGTAAATCAATCAATCATGCAGATGGGAACCAATCTAATAAAAACAAAAAACACGTTTTCTTGTGGTGTCCCTTCTAAAATGAGCAGAGGTGAAAGTTACTATATTCTGTTCTGATCAAGGAGTTGATGATAAGCAGACAATGTTGGCTAGCTAGCAGGCTAGCTGGTTGAAAAGTTGTTTACCTCCATATTAAATTATAATATATAGGGAGGAGTCCACAATAATTAACCACAGAGAATAAGACACATCCAGGTGTTTTTACAGTTTCATTTGACAATGAATTATTCAAACCATAAATAATTCAGTTCATGTTGGCCAAACACACTTATGTATTGATCGTCCAGCAGTGATTATAGCCTAAATAATAAGATTTTACTTAACTGAAGACGCAGTTTCTTCAATACTTGCATTTACTTACAGACAAATCTTGCTCTCTCCCATGGTGCCATGTCATAATTCCGACATCCCATTATTTCGACATCCCATTAATCCGAAAATTACCCATTGTTCCAAAATCTCAATTTTTCGACATCCCATTGGTCCAACCATATTAAACCCATTGTTCCGAAGTCCCGTTGTTCCGAAATCTCAATGTTGCAATGCAAAAAGTTGAAAAAGCAAGCAGCAAGAGACCGTGTTGTCGTGTTGTTTACTGTTGCCATGACGACAATGGCCCCCCAGTTTTGAGGAAGTAGAAACGATGTTGAAAGTTATAATTTTAACACTAACCATGATCTTTTCCTAACTTTAACCAAGTAGTTCTTGTGTGTTTGGGGATCCAGTTGAGTTATTACGAATACCTGCAACCTCTTTTAATTATTTTTACAGGTTAAATATTTGTAAAACCCAGACAGATGTAAAGAGTGACCAATAGCACTGATTTATGTTAAAAAAAAATACAGATAAAGATATGAGGTTTCTGCCCTGTGTTCAAGATTCATCAAAAATATTTTTAACATTTAAACATTTGACATTAGAAAAATAAAAGAAAATACTTGAAAATGTCTCTAAAGTAACTCTAGGTCTTTTGATTTCACAGGTGATGATGAGGAACAGAGCCCAGAGTGTCTCAGGATTGTGCTGATAGGGAAGACTGGCTGTGGGAAGAGTTCTTCAGGAAACACCATCCTAGGAAGAGATGAGTTCAGAGCTGAATCAAGCCAAACATCAGTCACCAAACACTGTCAGAAAGCAGTGGGTGAGGTGGACGGTCGTCCTGTTGTTGTGGTCGACACTCCTGGTCTGTTTGACACAACTTTGTCCCATGAAGAGGTTAATGAGGAGATGGTGAAATGCATCAGTCCTCTGGCTCCAGGACCACATGTCTTCCTGTTGGTGTTACAAATCGGCAGATTAACATCAGAGGAGAAGGAGACATTAAAACTCATCAAGGAAGGCTTTGGGAACAATGCTGAACAGTTCACCATCATTCTTTTAACTGGAGGAGATGAACTGGAACATGAGGAGATGTCTATTGAAGAATACATTGAAGAAACATGTGATGACTCCTTTAAGAAGCTGATTGCTGACTGTGGAGGAAGATACCATGTGTTCAATAACTATGATAAACACAACCACAAACAAGTCAGTGAGTTGATAATCAAGATTGACACCATGGTGAAGACAAATGGAGGCAGCTGCTACACTAATGAGATGCTGCAAGAGGCCGAGG